TAAATATTGTTTTTTTTTTCAAATTTTCAAAAAAATATTTGCATTTTAAATATTAATAGATAATTACATAAAATTTAGAGTACTGATGATAGAAACATTAATATTTGAAGTTATTGAAGTATCAATATATGGTATCAATGAATATATGGTATCAATATTGAAGTATCAATGTATGTTTCAATTTGCAATCTTTTAATATAGGGTACTTTTAAAAAATTGAACTAATTTTAGTGAGTAACTCATGACAGATGGTTTAATAAAGTTTCATACCATATATTTTTTTTCCTTCATATTCTGCAAATTTGAAATATCCTGCCTAAATTTTACAATTTTAAAATAAAAATTGTTAATTCCTTATTAAACTATGTTTATTTTTTTCAGAAAGGAAAAAAAAATAATAGAAAAAATTTAATGAAAAGAGAAGAAAATTATTAAAGAAATTTTAAAAAAATTGTATTTTTGCACAGAATTTTTTATCATAAAACTAAAAATATAAATTTATGAAATTTGGACCAAGCTGTACCTATTTATATAGGAAAATAATTAATATTTTTTTCACCAAGTTAATAAAACTAAAGATTAAGTAATTACTAAGATTTCGTGCAAAACTACAAAAATTGCTTCACATCAAAAGTGAACGGTCCCGAAAACGCACTGCACACACATATGCAAATGACTAATATGTGAATTCTGAGCCACGGTGGCTTAGAGGATAGAGCATTCGCCTTCTAATGAGGAGAACCGGGTTCGAATCCCAGCACTGCCTGGTCGATATGAATTCTTCACCCGGCTTGCACTGACCACAGTGCTGACGTAAAATATCCTCAGTGGTAGACGGATCATGGATTAAACTCCCCTTGCCGTCAGACTAACCTTGGATGGTTTTCGTGGTTTTCCAAGTCATGTAACGCAAATGCAGGTTAGTTCCATCAAAAAATCCTTCACGAAGGGAAGTTCCCTTGTCGTCAGGTTTGGGTTCAAAATTAATGAATTTTGTTACTTTAAGAAAGCTTTTATTATAAAAGTTACGAAAAATCCTCTCTTTCAACGAAATAAAACTCAAATTTTTACGTAAAATACGATTCATCATTTCAACTTGTAAATGTGTAATTATACAATGTGAAAAATAAAATTTCGTTTTGAAAAATAATGTATTAAAGTAAGCTGAAATATGAAAAATATACTATACATCAAATAGGTATTGAAGTTCGATTTCTTTCCTTGAAGTTGCAAATTTTTGTATTTTTTTGAAGCCCAAAAGTTTAATTAATAACAATTCTGCGTATTTTCGAAGTGAATATCAATGTGTTTACTTGTTTAAAGTAAAATTAAATCTGGCAAAATTATTTTGTATGTTATACAAGTAATATATAAATTCGAATATTATCTTTCAACTTTTGAATTATGCCATGTTCAAAAGCGAAAGAAAAAAAAAGTTAACAAGCAATGCGAATAATTATTAAAAGAAAGAAAGAAGCTTGAGAAAATAAAAATTTTAAACAAATTTTGCTTAAAATAGAGATGTTAAATAGTTTCCAAAGATGCCTAGAAGTTTCTTTTTAAGTATAACATGTTTATAAATAAATAGATCCTCAATTGAATCAATTTTTGAAGTGTTCCAATGCAGATAAAAATCTTATTTTTTATACTTAACTCACTCTTTCCCTTCTCCTGTTTCCCCTATTACAAAAGGCAAGATTATTTTCTTACCTCTCGATTGTGATTTACTGGTCATAAATAAAGAGCTTTAAAAGTGATAACTAAAATTTGAAATTCACGCATCATAATTTTGTCGAAATAAAAATATTGGGATTTTTAAAATTTCGTTCGTCAGAAATTTGTTGTGATAACCACTGAAAAAAGCGATCGAAAAACTGCATTGAATTAGATTTGGCAGTGCAAAAATTCCAATACTTTTTTTACTTTCCAAAAAAAATTTATAATTTTTCGTATTATATTCTGGTGCTACCGTGGGCCGCAAATTGGACACTCCAATCATAGTTGTATATCCTTTCCGGATCTTCCCTTCAGTGGACTGATCGTTAAGACACGGTTCCCAGCAGATCACCGAAGTCATGCATCACTGGCTGCGGTCAGGGTGCGGGTGGGTGACCACTTGGATCAGTCTGCGTAGGGTCCGAGGGTGTGCGGTATTGGCCCTCGTTAAACTGTGGTACCGTAAAGTGCTCGACTTCGCTCGCAGGTCGTCGGGCCACCGAAGCGGGGGTGCCATCCCCTCCGCAGAGGATCAAAATTGTGATGGCATGTCTTCGGATCATCCTCAGGGATGTTTCCCAGACCGTCGCCAATAGCCCATTGTGCAGCTCTAGTGTGACGTAAATTAACAATAACAATTAATAATAATAACCTTTCTGGATCATACTCCCCCTCCCGCAACTCGGTGGATGCGGGTTTATTATCTACACTACTGTCTATAAACCTTAGATCAAGAGGCGTCCAGCGTGCAGTTTTTCTAGATTGCACACTGTATATAAAATTTAAAGCTCAATTTTATTAATAATTTGAATACTTAAACGTAATTTCTAAAATTTATCACTTCAATTTAGCTATGTTATTTTTTTTATATAATTAGAGATGATAGTTCTTAAAAATAATAATATTAGAAGAGATAACCATCGATAATAAGAGTTTTAATAAAAAGAACTAGAAAAATCACTAGTAAGAAGAGTAAAATAAAAAAAGAAAAGAAAAAGAAACTTANTATATATATATATATATATGTAATATGTATGTAATATGTATGTCAATAATTTTCCTTCATTTTTTGGAAAAATAGTATGCAAAAAAAAAAAAATAATAATCTACTGTTGTGCATCGAGTAATTTAAATGCAGCAGGATGTTTTTGAATTTCGTAACAAGTTTGATTATTCACAATTCTTAGCTTTCTTTTATTAAGAGGTTGAAGATGATTTAAAAACAAGCATTTCACTTAAAATAAAACCTAAATTAAAATATTAAAAAAATAGTATGTTATTGAAAAAATAATCTACGTGGTAGCGCATAAAATAAAGTTTTGAAAAAGGAAGAAATATAATTAATTATTTGGTAAAATGGTCGTGTGAGAAACGGTCTGCCCAGTTATTAAAAATTTTATTTTAAGATTAAGACAATATATAACATGCTGAGAAACTTTAAGATGTTTAAAAATCTTGGCATGATTCCGCAATTCTATTTCCTTAGTAGAAACATGGAATATCAATATTCCAATAAACATAATTTTCGATGATATTACAATTTTATCCGATATAACGATACGTTTTATAGCTCTTTTATTTTCATTTAAGTTGCAATTGCTTGATAATTATTAAATATTTTATTCCATATCAATTTATACTTATGTATATTAAAATTGTATCTATTATTCAATGAACTTATTAGAAATTTCTTTTAAAAGAAAGCAGATGTATAACCTCATTTTATCAGAAACATGATTTTATAAAACTCAACATTCGTTTAATATAATGCTTCATTCGAATGTCATTGCTAAATTATGAGTAAATTTTCAGATGACTTAAAAAGAAGCATCCTATTTCATAATTAAGAAAAAATTAACATCCGGCTCCCAGCGGAAAAAATATGAATGAAACTTGACGCTACGCACGCGTAAGTCAAGTTCCTCATACGTTAACCACATTTAAATATTAATTTCCCCATTTAAATATTTCTACATTGTCACCAAATCATTTTTTAAAAAGTAATTAATTTTAATTTATTTCGGCTTCTACTAAATAAAAACAGTTTAAACTTTAATTTTGCTATAGGAAAAAACGTGGGGTTATATGGTATAAAAAAAAGTTTATACCTCATAATTCAAAATTTTTTCATCCAGAATTAAATTAATTAATAAATAATTATTAAAAATCATGGTTTGAGTGAAATTATCTTTCGGTAGATGGGTTTCATAAGTGAGTGCAAGTTTTTTTTAATTACTCATTTAATTATTAAGATATGACAAAAAACACCAGATAAATTAACATTAAGGGGACCAAAATTTAACCCTCTCTACGGACCTAACTATTAGGGTCACAATTTCCAGATCGCAGCTGCCCCCTATATTTTACAGGTCAAGAATGCAAATATGTAAAAATAAAATTATGTTTATTCATGCTTGAGGTTACCCATAGAAACAAAGATTGAAAACTTAGTTCGTGAAAATCCGACCATTTGAGAGAAAGTTATTCAGGTTTTTTTTCTTTTTTTCCTTACGTACTATGCAGTTCGTAAAAAAGAAGGTAAAACGAATCACACTGAATAACTTTTTAATAGTTCAAGGGAATGAACTTAAATATGCTAATCAATTAGTGCAGTCTATATTTATAGTAACGAAATCAGACACTAAAACGTATTTTCTCTGAATTTCGTACGAAAATTATGTACTTCTGAACACAAATGTGCATAGTTCATTGACTTCAACTTCTTTTTTTTAAAATTATTAATAGCATTTAGTATAACTAAATACGACTAATAAGATTTCTTAATGCGTATCACTTTTTATGTAATGTCCATAGCTAAAAACTGAAATCTTTCATCATACTGCAAGTTCAAGCAAAATATAGACTCAATGATACTGTATATCTTACGTATATCAATATACGACCACTCATATTTTATGCTAGCCACCTGCAATTACCAGTTGATTGCACTACACGAAATTGCCACTGCGCGATACCGCAAAGAAGTAGTTAATAATTGGTATTCAGAAATGTATTCAGTAACTGATTTGTTAAAAATATCTTAATTTAAAAAACAGTATACGAATTTGCGTTTTAAAGCAAAAAAAGAAAGAAAATCATAAAATAGTAACTAAATTGCATTAGAAATAGCCTGAGTATCGTAAGCAACACTTGATTTCTTCTTAACCAGTAACATGCAGATTAAATATATGACTTTGGATCGTGATAAATTATGTATGCATTATGTTCTTTCTTTCTATTCGAATCTTTATTTCAGAACTAAATTTAAAAATTGTATTTTGCAGATAGAGAGAGGTCTAGAAGCTACAATTTTTCTGAACCTCCTTCCCTGAAGCGTATGGCAGTAGTGTCGTTTGCAATTGGGCTATGGACGGCTCCTGATATAAGGAATGAAATGACATCTTCTTTCTTATCTTCTTTCTCAAACTATAGCGGAGATAATGCTGAGTTGGATAGAAGAATATTAAACAAATTGTCCGATAACTCTTTGCCCTCATCGCTGAAGACTGAAGTCTCATACGTTATTCGACCCATTAAGTTGCAGTTGTCGAAAGCGCTTCGTAGTTACTGTAGATGGACAGGATATCAAAGAAATCTCTGTGAGTATTACATGAAGCATGGTACAATTTATTGGACAGTTGAGGGGACTGTTGACAAAGTGAAATCCCTTAAGGAACTATTCGATAATGGAAGCTTAAGAAGCTTAGATATTTGTGATTTGTATGAGATAGCCTGCTCTCACTGTTTAGGGGAATATGCTTCAATTTTGTGGGAGAAAATTCCAGAACAATTTAGAAACAGCTTTAGAATGCGCAGGGATTATTTGATAACATATTGGACATGTGTCCTCGACAATAATTTAGGGAGTTTTTTAACTAGACTCATAGATTATGAAAACATATACGACAATAACTTTAGTATTGATGTAAATATGATTGCTGTATCGATTCGAATTGGCAACATAGTTGCCCTAAAGTATTTTTGGAAAAAATTGTCGGAGCAGGAGAAAAACGATCATTTGAGTAAGTGGCTTTTGCAAACTTCTCAGCGTATGAGAGTTCTAAGTGATATACCTTATCAGGATTCTTCAGAAATTTTAGATGTTTTATGTTTTCTATTATCTCATGTCAATCGTAAAAATCAAATAACCGAATTTTTTCGGAATCATTCTCGAGTATTAAAGCTTTTGTTCCAAAGTTGGCCATATCAAAGAATATTCCTGTCCACTATTTTGGAGCTATTGGATTTACTTCAAGAAGACATTTATTCGGGTATAATGCTGAATATTAGTCTTAATGGAAATAAAATGGGAAATGAAATGATGATTTTTAAGGAAATATGGAGTGCCAGTCCTTTAAGACTAAGACGATCATTTTTGAAATATGAATTTTGCGGCGTAGTGTTGTTGCGTTTGCTGGAATTAGAAAATCTAGACATGGCTGTTAGGATATTTAATGATGCTTCCAAAGAAGAGATTAAACTATTTATCTGTTTTATGTTTGGTCAGCCTGAATTTAAGCGTGCAATTTATTCAAGCAATCTGAATTCATTCCACCTGTTATTATCAAAATCTACCTTGCCACTAGAATGTTATCCCTATAAAATCACTTGCAACGAGCTGATAATATCGTGGCTTAGTCGACTTAGCGATTGGCATATTTGTATTGAGTGGATATGCGATGGCAACATCCAAGCAGTTGAATCTTTCTTGAGATGGGCTTATCAATATGTGCGAATTGAAACGTTTAGGAAAGCTCTACGGTCTCGGTATGTTATGTATTTGGCATTAATATTTATGTCCAACTATGAGTTCGTGGACCAGTTTATGAATTGGTATTTCGAGACGAGAGAGAAATTTCGACAATTTAAAGCAGACTTTTTACGAAGAGAGGATAATTATTTTTTCAAGCGATTCATAGACATGCCATTCATTGTATCAAAAAGAGAAGGGGATGTGTTACAAAAATTTATAAACTACAACTTGTCTTCTCTAGAAAACGTTGCAGAATTTCGACTTATTTGTCGTAATTGTATAGAGTATGCACTGAGTAAAGGTTTTCTTGAAAGTGCCACTTTGCTTTTGAATGCATCTTTTGATAATATCATTGAAGTAAAGCGATACAAAAACGAACTTATACTATCTGAGAAAGGAATTAAAAAGGATTTAATCTTAAAGCAATCACTAACTGATGCTGACTGGAATCATGTGAAAGAAATTGTATTGTGGTCGTCACCTCTAACCCTAAATACAGTCACCAAATTAAAGTCACTAATTCTGGAGCAAAAGACTAGTCACTCTTTCCAAGATGAATTGAATCCACAGATTTCAGCTCTCCTTGATTTACTGGAGAATGTTGTTGAAAAAGATGATAGTTGAACATTTTTTTGCGATCAAAAACGAATTTAAATAAAATCATGTTCACCGTCAAAAGTAAAATCATGTTTACTGCACAATCACTGTCAAACTATAAATTGTCTTATAATAAATAGATGACTCCATTTTAGAGTGTTAGTTGTTTAATGTTAATTTCCTTTATATATTATTTGTCGCAACTTTAATAATTAATTTAATTGTCACTACTTTACTTTTTTTATTTTCGTTATATCTAAAGAAAAATCAACAACTTTAAGTGGTTTACTTTTCCTCACTATTCCCAAAAACCAGTCACTTGGAAAATATTTATATAAGGTAATAATGTATTGTACTGGGTGATTCAATGTTTATAATTAATAAAAAGACAAATTTTTTATACAACATTTTTTCCGATGATTTTTATCGAAATGAATACCATTTGTTGAATAATATTAATTTTTTAATTGAATATTTGAGCAGATTATTGGTTAGTCGAAAAATCTTTAACCACGGATACAGCTGAATATATATACACACACACATATATATATATATATATATATATATATATTTACATATATATTATTAAATAAGGGTGGTATATATATGTACATATATATTATTAGATAAGGATGATATATGTACATATATNTGCAAATAAGCTTATCTGGTCTCTGAGAACATTAAATTTCTCTTTCACATACTTAACTTGGCTCTTCGCGTATACATTTAGTCCCGTTGAATAGCGATGAAATCTTTATTTGTAAAATGAATCCACCCGCGCAATAAAATATCTCAAAGAAACCAAATTCCCATGAAAATCAAGACTGTTGAGAGATTAGTTCATCTCCATCTGGTCTTAAGATCTTCCAGACACCGGCTCTAACATCTGGGTTATATAGATCACATGACATGAACATATGTTACGTTAAAGAAGGTACACTTATATTTTGGAAATGAAATGGTAAAGATGTGTCCCGGAGCCTCTGCTCCGTTTGTATATAATTTGTAAATAGATTTCCTTATCCTTTATTCAATAAATTCATAGAAAATGCATTATGTTGTCATCCTTATATAAAGGATATTAAAAATAAAAAAATGACTGCGAAAATTGGAATCAACAAAATAATGATTCAAGAATGAAAGCGACTGCTAAAGAGTTTACGAGAAAGAACGAGAACGAGCACTACATATATATATATATATATATATATATTAGGATTGAACTTTTTTTCCGCTCCCTCTCTCTCTCTCTCTTGTACACACACAATTTTGAAAAAAAGTATACTACTCTATAAATGACATCAAATAAATTAAAAAATTATAATTCAAAATTCGTGAACAAAGAAGAATAGTCAAATGCTTCGAAAAATTGGCACATCCTTATCTTGACGCAAGACATAATTTTGAATGATAACCTTGTCCGCTGTGATAAGCAAAATGCAGTTTCACTTCCTCTCGTATGTGTAAACTTCCTCTTTTGTGCATCTGAGGTGATTCCTATAATTTATTTTGTTTATATTTCAATGTAGAAGGAATGTGTTTTCTCTCACTTACTTAATGCGCAAATTTACATACTGTATTCAGGTTAGGCGGACATATTTCTTTTATCTTTCATTTTCATGTTTTTATCAGTAAGTAGTCGTTTGGTAATTTTTAGTTTTTACTTCCTTTTGTTTAATTACTCCATTTGGTCTTTTCACTAACTCAACTTCAAAGTTGCAGTAACCATTTTTTTTATCTCAAAAATTAAAACCCGTACTTAAAACATTGTTATTAAATTGTTTTTGTCATACAACCTTTACATCATGGATATCGTCAAATGTTTGCTCCCGAGGGTGACATCAATAAACTCAAGAAATCGAGGGCCACATGTTGGCTCGACAATATAATGCTCAAAGGGAGGTAGCAGTTTATATTAGGGTAGGTTACAATTTTTTTTTTTTAGATTCTTCCTAGTATGTTGGAATTTAGTTAAAGTTTGGAATAAAATTTGGAAGATCCATTTTATTTTACAGAATTTTGTTAATGACTGAGATACTAAACAAATTGAGATACTAAACATGTCTACTTGACGTACAGATCTACAAACGAATTTGTAAGCAACTATATTTTATTTGAAATTGTTATTAGTATGCGGGCTTTCTTATCGAACAATTGTTTTAAACTGAATTATATCCCAGACAGCAAAATAAAGTTTATTTTCACGCAGAAAAAAAAAAACATTTTAATGTAAACCTAAAAAGGTTTGTCAAGCGGTTTACGTGCAAACCTGAAACGAGATGTGTGACAATCTGCTCTATTCTACGCACATTACCCTAATCCAAAACCATGGAAAACAACCTTCCACATAAAAACCTTAAAACGAGGTTGACTTAGGGTTTTCAAGTGTGAAAAAATCCTTTAAGGAAACTAGTCACCAGGTGAAAATAACCTTATATCTAGGTAATTATAAGGTTTCTTTTCGCAGTCTTGTATGCTCAGCTAAGATACACCTTGTCATGAAATTTTAATGGAGAATGCAATTTGATTCTATTGCTGGTGTAACGTCAGCTAAAACGTCATTATGAACCTGAGTAATCATTTTTCCTAAGTGACAATACGTTTTAAAAATAATTTTTGATCCTTTTAGGATGAAAGGTTCGAAACTGCAATATTTTTGCTTTATTGAAAAATAATTTTTAGTACAAACATTTTCGTGACAATAAACAGATAATTCCGACACAAGGTTGTCGTATGGTTACAGGCAGAATGCAATTTGATTCTATTGCTAGTGTAACGTCAGCTAACACGTCATCATGAACCTGAGTAATCATTTTTCCTAAGTGACAATACTTTTTAAAAATAATTTTTGATCCTTTTAGGATGAAAGGTTCGAAACTGCAATATTTTTGCTTTATTGAAAAAGGATTTTTAGTACAAACATTTTCGTGACAATAAACAGATAATTCCGACGCAAGGTTGTCGTAAGGTTTACATGCTTTCTGGGATAATTCAACGGGACAGTTGTGATCATCAGAACATGCGTTGATGATACGGTACATGCAGTGCCTGGTTACAATATGGCACACACTGAAGATCTTTCGTTACATAATAATGAGGTGGCAAGAGAATGTGTTGAGCTGGGTAAGAAGATCTTTCGTTACATAATAATGAGGAGGCAAGAGAATGTGTTGAGCTGGGTAAGAAGATCTTTCGTTACATAATAATGAGGTGGCAAGAGAATGTGTTGAGCTGGGTAAGAAGATCCTTCGTTACATAATAATGAGGTGGCAAGAGAATGTGTTGAGCTGGGTAAGAAGATCTTTCGTTACATAATAATGAGGTGGCAAGAGAATGTGTTGAGCTAGGTAAGAAGATCTTTCGTTACATAATAATGAGGTGGCAAGAGAATGTGTTGAGCTGGGTAACTGCTATTTGAAGCAGCATAGAATAACAGACGCAATTGCTAAGTATGATGAGGCAATTGAATACCGTCCTTATTATTCGATTCCCCACTTTAATAAACGTATTGCAAAAAATTTGATGAAGAGCCTTGAAAAAGAAGTCGAGAGTAATGTTGAGACATTGAGTGGTAAAATGGAAAATTTAAATTTACAAAAAACTGATTGTGGTAATACTTATTTTGTTTGCAGTGTAATAGTTTATGTCCCAGATCATTCATCTAGCGATGATTCTTCGGATAAAGAAATTGAAGAGGAATTTTTCAAGTTATTTCAAAATGATGAATTCCCTTACACTACAAGTTCAGAAACAGCAAAAGAAAGAAAAAATCTTCAAAGAATACATAGACTACATAAAACTAAGATTTGGGGACATACATTGGCCAATTTAGAACAACGAACAGATGAAGAACGGAGTATACAGAGCATATTTTTAGATAAATTATCTAAAAATGGTTTTGAAGAACAAGATAAAAACAAACTATCTTCGATTGGTGTAAGTTTGTGCATGAATCGTATGCAATATTTAAGCAAGAGAAAAAATAATTCTTTAACTTTAGAATTAGAAATCCAGGAGAATAATAATAGTGGGGTTGAATGTGAAAAATTTGGTTGCTATTGGACGTGTCCGTGGTACAGTTGCCGTGATGGTGAAATTGCTAATTATGAAAAAGTAAAAAAATTCTATAAACAACTAAAACGCAGTGATCCAATATTGGCAAAAAAATTTTTAACTGACGAAGAAGAGAAATTCGAAAAAAACTGCAATAATATACCTTTTCAAAGTATTCGTGAATATGCAAAAAATCATGCAAAAACACAGCATTTAGTAAATAAATTTCAAAAAGGTGGTGCAATAATATATCTTCATTTCTTTGATGCAGATATACATGATTTCAACGGTGTTTATAGTGCTTATCTGCGTATCCTGAGTGGTTGTTGTAAAAACCCCACTATTATGTCCACAGGATATGAGTATCCTAAAGATCCTAAGCCATTTTGTTTGTTAGGTCATTTGGAGAGAATGTGTAGGGTGATCACAACACATTTTATTCCTCTAGGAACTTATTATCCAGAACCAAATCTGTGCGTTTTAGTACCTCAGGACTGTAAAACAATACCTGAAAGTTTTAAGGATCCTAATCGAGGCAAAGGTAAAATTTATGAATCACCGATCTTATTGACAGCTATAAAAGAAAGGCGAAATGTTTCTGCCATTTTCAGTGAAGATAATCCTATTATTACTACAGTACCAGAAAGATGCAAATTGCAAAAAAACAATAAAAAACCGTTTGAATTCTAGCAGGAATTTAAAGAAGGTCCTTGCAGTCCGACAAAAAATGACATAAAACAAATGAATAATGTATGTCAATCACATACTAATCCACGTAATTGGGTCGATAGCTTAATTATCAATGGTGCGGTCAAATTCGATCCGGATTACAAAAAAGTAACGGAATACTTTTCAAGGATTATTTCCAATTTAATGCTTATAATTTAGGCCGAAAATTAATACATGACATTCGCAACAATAAAGGCGACGTGAAAAATAAAAAAAAACTATTGGGAAAACTAATAATTAATGATGATGATGATAATGATATTTTAAATAATATCGTAGATGCAATTGAAGCAATAAAAGCATGCAAAAATTTGTCTGATAACAAATATAAGAGAACAGAAGAAGAGCAAGAATTTAGTGA